ACGACGACGACGACGCCGCCGATGACGACGACGACGACGACGACAGCGACGACGACGACAATGCCGACGACGACGACGACGACGACGACGACGACGACGACGACGGATGCGACGACGACGGCGACGCCGACGCCGACGACGACGACGACGAATACGACGACGACGCCGACGACGCGGACGAGAACGCCGATGACGACGACGCCGACTACGACGACGACGCCGACGTTGACGACTACGACGACGACGCCTACGGCGACGACGACGACAACGACGACGCAGACGCCAACTCCGACGACGCCGACGCCGACGCCGACGCCGATGCCGCCGCTGTTGACGACGACGACGCTGCCGACGCCGAAGACGATGACGACGACGACGAGGACGACGACGACGGCGATTTTTCCGATGCCGACGCCGACGCCGACGCCGACGACACCGAGGGCAACGCCGACGCCTACGCCGACGCCGACGACGACGACGACGACGACGATTACGACGATTTCAACGGTTACGACGACGACGACGTCGACGAAGACGACGACTCCGAGGCGGAGGAGGACGAGGAGGAGGAGGAGGAGGAGGAGGAGGAGGAGGTGGAGGGAGGAGGAGGAGGAGGTGGAGGAGGAGGAGGAGGCGGAGGAGGAGGAGGCGGAGGAGGAGGAGGAGGAGGAGGAGGAGGAGAGGAGGGAGGAGGAGGAGGAGGAGGGAGGAGGGAGGAGGAGGAGGAGGGAGGAGGGAGGAGGAGGAGAGGAGGAGGGAGGAGGAAGAGGAGGGAGCAGGAGGGAGGAGGAGGAGGAGGGAGGAGGAGGAGGAGGAGGGAGAGGAAGGGGAGGACACCAGCGCAGGGCAAGCGAAGGACGGTGGTGGGCAAGGTGATGGTCCCCCTGTGGACGGAAATTGGAATCGAGGGCGATGATGGGCATGATGGTGCAACACCAGTCACCGTTGCCGTCGTCGCCGCCGCCGCCGTCGTCGTCCCCACACGGGCGCGCGCAGGCGGCGACGACTGCCCTGGGGCGCTGACAATGGCGGCGGCACCGCACGGCCTAGGGGCCCACCAGCTGGCCACGAGGGTGTCCTCGGGGCAGCCACGGCAACGGGAATCGAGAGACTCGGCCTCTGTGCATCTGCATTGGTAGGTATGCCTGTGGTGCCGGAGGAGGAGGAGGAGGAGGAGGAGGAGGAGGACGAGGACGACGAGGACAAGGACGAGGACAAGGACGAGGAGGAAGACGAGGACGAGGACGAGGAGGAGGAAGAGGGCGACGACGACAACTTTTTCGGTGTGTGTTGAGCCTCTGGGGATGGGGGGTCCTCTCGCCGCGGCTGGATCCGCCTTGGAAGTATGATCAACACTCGCTCCCTTGCAGGGGAAAGGATGGGAGGGTTGGAGAGAGGGATGAGGAGGAGGAGGATCAGGATGAGGACGAGGAGGAGGAGGAGGCTTTGGCTAAGGCTGAGTCGACCTACGAGGCTGTCCTGTCTGGGGATGTCGGCAGGGCCAGGGATTTGCTCACCCCTGGGTACAGCCTTTGCGTCAACTCGGCCGAGGCTGATCTGGAAAGGGTCCTTGGGGTTGACCTCCCTGCCCACGGCGTGAGGGACAAACGCCCCAAGCTGATCTGGAAGTCGGTCTTGAAACCAGCTGGTAAGGTTAAGGACCGACGCCTTAGGTCCATCACGTGGCTTTGGCTTGCTGCGCAGTTGTTACCATGGCCAGCTTCGACTCGCTTCCTCGGTCGCCAGGTCTGGACTTCGACGCGTATGTCGATGACTCAGGCCTTAGTTGTTCGGGCAAAGTTAAGGATGTTGCGCGTGCTCTCGTCGGCGGAGCCCACGCTCTTCATCGATTCATCACCGAAGAGCTGCAGTGCAAATTGACCATGGACAAAGTGGGGGTGGTTGCCAGCAACGACTGTTTGGGCTTCGCAGCTCCTTCAGAAACTAGGGCCTCTTGCGGGGCCTGAGGTGGGCATTGGAAGAGTTGCGAACCTCGGATTGAGTTCACTGCTGGCCGTTTTATTCGCGCGCCTGGCCGCGGCCGCGCGGCCAAGCTCAAAGCTCGGTTGGCGCCCGCGCTGCGCGAGACCAGGAGGCTCAAAAGGTTGGGGGGCGCTCTCGGCAGACGCAGCTTGAAGACGTTTGCCTCTGGGCCCCTGACAGGAGGAACCTACGGGTCCGATTTTGCTGGGGCGTCTGACAGGGAGCTCCTGGACTTGCGACGCACCGCGATGTCGCGCGTTAAGCCGCGCTCTCAGGGGCGCTCGCTGGCGCGCGAGTGCGGCACCCATCAATAGGTGGTCGAAAGAAATATGGCCGCGTCATACTCGGGCGTTCAGGCGGCGTCTGTCTTGGGCCGAGCTGCGCGAGGGCTGGGTGCAAGCCTCAGTCACGACAATCGTTCGCGGGCGAAGGTGCGCGGGCCTCTTTCTGCTCTCCGCATGCGCATCTACCGCCCAGGCTGGACGACGCCCGACTTCGTTACGTTTAGAGATGACTTTGGTCGAGACATCTCGCCCCCCCCCCCCGTCTGATCGAGGCGCTGCGCCGCGAGGCGGCGCTCGAAAACCTTGAGCGGGACTCCGGTGACAAGTGCGGGGCGGGGCACAGCGCGCGTCGGGACGTCGCCAAGCAGACGCTCGTTTCGCCCAGGGTTCCCGCCGAGGCCAAGAGGGACATTAGGGCCCAGGCCTGCCGCGCTTTCTGGACGGGCGCAGACGCAGCTGCCGCCGGCCATGACGCGCCAGACCTCTGCCCACTCTGCGGGGCCGAGAGCGACGCGATGCACCGCCGTCTTTTTCGCCGCGCGGCCTCCGCAGAGCAGCGCAAGGAGCTGCCCCCGCCGCGGTTGATTGAAGCTGCCAATGGCACGACCAGTCATGAGTATGAAGAAGAGCTGTTCCTGTATGGGGCCCTCCGTCATTCTGGGGACTATGCTCCGCGTCCACTATGTGAAGGTGGTGTCTCCCTCGCGCGGTTGGCCGAGGACCTCCCCCCCCTCCCTCGCGCGGTGCTGAGAGGGTGGCTTCTGGGGGCAGCATGTGGGGATCTCTTTTTTATTGACGGCTCTTGTCACAGGCACGCAGTGCGTGAGTTGTCTCGAGCGGGCTGGGCAGTTACGATGGTGGGGACTGATGGCGAGCTCCGAGGTGTCTTGAAAGGCCCCGTCTGGGCCCCTTGGCCTCAGACCCCCCAAGCTGCTGAATTTGCCGCGCTCGCTGTCTGCGGAGCGCATGCGGATGCCACGTCAATTTGCCATAGCGATTACCAGAATGTCGTCGGCCACGTCGCGATCGGTTCAACCGACGCGCGGAGTGGCAAACGACAGCGCTCAGGTCTCGTTTTTTTTCCAAGGGAAGCACCATTTCGGAAAGAACCTGGCTGCCCTCGTCAAGGAAGCCACCCATTGGGATTCTGAGGAAGATGGCATTGCATCCAGCGAGCGTTTCAGGAGAATTGGCAATCGGTATGCCGACCTGGCTGCCAGAGAAGGGGCAAGCGCGCACCCCTCCCTTACTCTCGTTGAAGCTGACGGGCTCGACCGGCGCATCCAGATTGCCCGCCTGGTCCTCTTCGCTGGCTCGCAGTTGCTGCCGCGTTGGCCGCGACTTGAATTTCGGGGCACCGCCAGGTCCGTCCCTGCCCCCGCCCTCCTCCTCCTCCTCCTCCTCCTCCTCCTCCTCCTCCTCCTCCTCCTCCTCCTCCCTCCTCCTCCTCCTCCTCCTCCTCCCCCTCCTCCTCCTCCTCCTCCTCCTTCCTCCTCCTCCTCCTCCTCCTCCTCCTCCTCCTCCTCCTCCTCCTCCTCCTCCTCCTATGTTCCTCCTCCTCCTCCTCCTCCTCCTCCTCCTCCTCCTCCTCCTCCTCCTCCTCCTCCTCCTCCTCCTCCTCCTCCTTCTCGTCCCCCTCGTCCCCCCGCCAGGTCCGTTCCTGCCCCCGCCGCTCAGCGCGTCCCCCTGGATGCTGGGCATTCGCGGGCGCAGGTTGGGTCCTTTCTGGCAGTGCCGCGTTTGCCTCAAGGGCTCTCGCGCGCGGCTCCCGCTTCCTGGGGGTTGCCCGGGGCATTCCAGGTTGGACCAAGGTGTGCTGCTCAGGTTAAGACACACGGTCGTGGCATTCTCGTGTTCTGACTAGTTTTTTTTCCAGTTCGTTTGCTTGAGCTGCAAATTCTACAGCAGTGGATCGCAGAGTGTCAAGCTCGGCCACGTGCGTGGCCAGCCCACCATCACGCCGATGCGCAACATGCGCAAGCTCAAGAAGGACTTGCAGCCTGATACGGATCAGGTCACGGTTGACACTGACGAGTTTATCTCTTTACTGTGAGGAGCACAGCTCCTCGGCGTCTGCTTGAGCCTCGAGCAGGAAGCGTCACTGCTGCGAGGCATGGGCGCTGCTGCCAAAAAAGCAGGGGAAGGGGGGAGGACGGGCCAGGAGGAGGAGGGGACAGGGGGACGGGAGAGAAGACGAGCATCGGGTCGGACCGGCTGTCCACGCAGGAGGGGCCAAGCCCATGCTGCTGGGCGAGCGCCGAGCTCGATTGAGCTCGGCGGCCGGGGCTGGCCCCATACAGAGGCCAGGAGAAGCTCGGGGATCCAGGCCCCGAAAATGATTCCGACACAGAGGCAGGAGAAAACAATAAAGAACGAATGGCTGGATGAACCGCTGCCTCCCTCCAACCTTACGCCGCTCCAAAGAAACCGCCCCAGATAGCAACCTCACGCTACGCGCGCTGAAGCGCAAGCGCTCGTGAGCGTGAGGGCAGGAGAGCGGATGTCAAGTGAGGAACCAATACGTTTGGATTGAGCAAGCCTATGCGGAGGATGGACGCTCGCCTCAATTATGATACGACCAGGTTGCCCTCTGAACCAGCCTCGGAGTCTAGGCCGCCGATACATCATGGACACGAGAACTCTTCAGCGACATGTCAGGAACAATAACTCCCCGCCCCATAAGATCCCCCTCAAATCCTCATCCGCTCATCCCTGCCCCAGCTCCCCCCCAGGTCACGTCACCGTCGTGAGGAATATGGTGACAGGATGGCGCGGGCTGCCGAGGGTACACTGAACCAGCTCGGCCGTGATGGGGCTGGCCCTGGTGACCATGTTGTGGGCCACCTCCTGCTGGCCGCCCACCTCGAGGCGCTCCACGTTCAGGAACAAGCCCACGACGGTGGTGATGGCCGTGGAGTTCTGAATCACCTTGCCCAACGCAAATGGGGGTTCGTAGAACGAGGCGTATCTAAGTGATTTGGGCGCACGCTTCCTCTGGTGTGGCGGTGGCATGTGGTCCTGAGGCAAACCGTGTTGGCGCCAGGCTGCCCAAAGGATGGGAAGGGCACCCTCTCCAAGTCCTCCAGGACCGTGTGCCTGAGCGTCTGGATGGCCTGCAGGCTGTCTTGGTGGGGCCCTCGGAAGCGGAGGCAAGCCTTGCTGAAGAAATTCGCGACGTTGAAGTAGGCCTCTGCGAACTCGCCCTCCTCCCCACCCTCTCTGAGGCACCGATGCACGAACGCGCGCTTGGAGTACATGAGGTCGAACCTGAGGTCGGTGCGGGAGGCGTTGTCTTTGACGAACTGGGTGGTCGGTGGCTCATCTGGGACCGCGTGCCTGAGCGTCTGGCCTGCCGTCAGGCTCTGTTGGGAGGGCCCCCGGAGGCGGAGACAGGCCTCGTGGAAGAGGTTCGCGAAGATGGAGCAGGCCTCTGTGAACTCAGCCCTTGACCATGCCTTCGCCGACGCACCGATGCACCAACGCTCGGTGGGAGACGCTGTCTCTCAGGGTCCGGGTGGTCGCGGGCTCCTCGGCAGCGGCGCGGGGGCCGGGCGCAGCGCCCGGCCTGTCGCCCGCCGCGGTGCCCTCCGCATCTGACACGAGGGCCAGGCGGGGGCTCCGCCCGCGAGTCGGGCAACGGTCGGGAAGACGAGGAGGAGGAGGAGAAGGAGGAGGACAAGGAGAAGGACAAGGAGGAGAAGACGAGGAGGAGGAGGAGGAGGAGGAGGAGGACAAGGAGGAGGAAAGGAGGAGAAGACGAGGAGGAGGAGGAGGAGGAGGAGGAGGAGGAGGAGGAGGAGGAGGAGGAGGAGGGGGGAAGAGGGGAGGAGGAGGAGGAGGAGGAGGACGGTCGGGAGGAGGAGGAGGAGGAGGAGGAAGAGGAGGAGGAGGAGGAGGAGGAAGAGGAGGAAGGAGGAGGAGGAGGAGGACAAGGAGGAGGAGGAGGACAAGGAGGAGGAGGACAAGGAGGAGGAGGAGGACAAGGAGGAGGAGGACAAGGAGGAGAAGGAGGAGGGGAGGCGCAACTCCTCCCCCTCTAAAGCGGCCGTTGCTTGGGTGCTCGGCGCTCCAGTTGGGCGCTAGGCAGCAGCTGTTCCAAGGGGGCCGGTGATTCGTATTGGGGGGGGTAGGAGGGAGGAGGGAGAAGGAGGGAAGGAGGATGGGAGGAAAAGGAGGGGAGGAGGAGGGGAGGAAGGGAGGAGAGCAGGAGGGGAGGGATGAGGAAGGGAGGAGGGTTTGAGGGGGAGGAGAAGAGGAGGGGAGGGGAGGAGGAGCAGAGGGGAGGACGGAAGGGGGCGGGACGCCGCCAAAGCCTCACTGCTCTGCCGTTGCCCTGGCTGCCCCCGACGTCGCGGCGAATGCCGCTTGTCCGCTCCCCTCCGCTGCGGAGCGCCCGCCTCTATGGCCAGTTCTCCGCTTCCCTGATGGGCAGCACTGCGGACGCACGCCACTCCGAGGGAGGGGCCTGCTGCCCGGAATGGGCGGCGTAGGCGCGCGCCGCTGCTGCCCCACGAGAGCACGGCAGAGAGGTGACGGGAGGAGGGGCCAGGAGGCATAGGAAGAAGGAGGGGAAGCATGAAAACGAGCATGTCAGTTCACCAGGGGGGTGCAATGGTTTGAAGGGGGGGTTGGGGGAGGGAGGGAGACAGGGAAAGGAGGGGAAGGAGGGAGGAAGCGGAGAATGGAGGTGGAGGAGGGTAAGGGGCGTTGGAGGAGGAGGAGGAGGAGGAGGAGGAGGAGGAGGAGGAGGAGGAGGAGGAGGAGGAGGAGGAGGAAGTCGAGAACTGGGGGTGGGACGTGGGGAGCAAGGGCAGCACGGGCGAGCATGGCGACCCGCTGCGGCTGCTCTGGCTCAAGGCCGAGCGACTGAGGCCTGCGCGCGGCGGCGCGGGCGTGCGCCCGAGGGGCGGACATCGAGAGAGCTGGTGCGGCTGCGGCACCATCGTCGGGAGGAAAGGCTTGTCGACTTGGCAGCGGAGCCTGGTCCACCACGGACTGGGGGCTCCAGTGCCACCATTGCGCGACGAGGGCTGGACGTCTCCAGCCACAAGCAGATCATTGAGGTGACCACCGGCGAGCAGGTGGTTTCCATCGAGGTGGACTGCAACTACGGTTCGGAGTACGGGGTCGGCTTCTGGCCGGCCATTTCCCGATACTGCCCCTGAGTGTACTGTTCCTCCTGGGCGAGATGGAAACATTCCAGCTCGAGGTGATGGGCTCCCTGAAGGTTCCGCCTGCGTGGACACCTGAACAGGACGGCCTACCCGTTCAGGTTTGTGGGCGGCGGCGGCGGCGCGAGAATTCCTTCCGAAACAACAAGGACCGGTAGCAGCCCTGCAAGTTGAAGGCGCTGCGCGCAGCCTGGCGCGAGGGAGATACCACAGGAGCAGCTACGTGACGGAGCATTCGCAGACCCTGGCAACGGGAACGGACCGAGGCAGCTGAATGGCCTCCAGCTGCTTCTATTTGTATTGTCGAACTCGTTTCGAGCCGCTGGGTGACGAGAGCGAGCTGCGTGCGACCCGTGACATGATGGGATCTTGTCGGAAGAACCACGAGAATATGGAGCAGACGCCATCGAGTTTCGAAGTTGCACAGAGGAGGGCAACGACATTGGGAGGATTCAACATGGGCCCGCGGGGCTACGCGTGCATGTTGCTGAACGCTTTCAACTGCAGCCCTCAAGAATCGAACGAATTGCTCATTCATTTCCGCGGCAACCTACCCAGGACAGAGCAGCAGTTCAATAAATCGGTCGAGTACATCAGCAGGTTCGGACACATCCTGGAAAAGGTGCCGATGGCAGTCAACAGGAGCAGTGGCAAAGGCTCCACCCTCACCTTCGGTGTCGGAGGATGACAGCAAGGTGACGGACACGACGGAGGCTTTAAACTTGAAACGGGAAGCGACATTACGCCTGCCAGAGCTTACCTTGCCGCTCAAGAAGCCCAAGGATCGGGACGCAGTCCTTCGGCACCGCGGGCGTCGACGGCAGGTGCATCCGACCCACGGGCCAACTACCCGGGTTCAGACAACGCCGAGGATGACGACACGGACACAGACAAAAACGACGGCAAGGACCTGGACGGATCGGATTTCCCCGGCACCATGGGCAAGGACGACGATGTGATAGTAAATCTACCAGAACTCAGTATTCCACAAGAACCGCTGGAGGAGATTCACAGGGCGGCCCACGCGTTTCCAGCGTTCTAGTAGAGGTAGGAGCGGAGAATGGATCACCGACACTTTTCCGAGGGGCCTTCGGACAGCGAGGACACGGAGGCAAGGGTTACCACTTCGACGGAAAAGGCAGACGCAATCCAGTTGGTCGAGAAGGCAAGGTCATGAAGTGCTTGCCGAAGGCATGCGAGAACGAGCTCCGCCCGGCGAAGGACTGCCCGCGCCGTCAAGGGGGGAAACTGGAAGGAAAGGGATCATTCATCGCCGACGGACCTCGCCAAGTTGCTGGAGCCAGCGCCCGAGTGCACCAGTTCGAATTCAACGCAGGCGCTGCGGCCAACTCATCTACGGCGGTCGCGACGCTTCCAAGCGCATCATCCGCGCCAGCCTATGGCTCTGGGGCCGTCAGCTTCCTCGCAGCAGAGAGCACTGCGACCAGCGAGACGCCGGAAGCCGCTGGTAGCAGGGCGCGCGTGACAGGCTCGAAAGGACATGTTGGAGTTGCGATCGCACCGGAATTGGCGGGGCCGAAGATGGCGATTGAAGATCGACGCGAGCTGGGCGACGGAGCCAAGGCAGGCCTGCCGAGCGCTACTTACTTGGGAACCACCTTCGGCGATCGGAGGACCAGCCTTCCTTATAATTGGCACGCCGAGCGCGAGCGAGACGAGGAACGCGACGAACGCCCCGGGGCCCGCGCCAGACAAGCCAACCTTGGGAGTCGACCAAATACTCGGCATATCTTTTATTTCGACGCCTGCTGGAGAGACCGCCGGGACCACGCCATTTAAGTCCCCCAGCCCCGCCGCTGGGCACGGTCTCTCTTAGAGCAGCCGCGCCGACCGCGACGCCGAAAACGCCGAAAGCACTGGGGCGGTTTGACGTCCGCGAGAGGGAACCCCGGCAGGGCGCCTTCAGCATCGGCGGCCGCGCACTCGCAGCAGTTCCGTCGAAAGCGTCGGTCGCGCCGTCGAGCGCGAACGGCGCGTCGGTCAGCTGGGAACAGATCTCGAGTTCACCCGGCGACGATACTCACGCGGCCGTTGTCGCAGAGCAGCAGGTGGACTTGTCGATCTCCGACGACGCGTTCGAGAGCTATTTCGACGCCGAGGAGAAGCGCGACTTGGATGTGGCGAGCGCGAGGGCTGCGACCTGAACAGGAGCATCGACTTCGCCGGCAACGAGAAGGACTTCCACGGGGTTGTTTGGACGCTGAACATGGAGAGTGAGACCCGCTACCTCGGTCATGAACGGGCGAGGCTTGACAACAGGGAAATGGGCATCACTGTCGACCCCGGAGCCCACGGGAGACTTGCTGGGGATCGGCGAGCCAAGCAGCACGCAGCCAGGGCATCGCGTTCTGGCCACGACACCGAAGAGACGATGCTGAACGAAACCCCCGGAGGTGAACGGCGTCGGCAAGGGCCCCGAACACCCGCACCAGCAGCGGCGATTACCGATCGGTGCGCAGGAGATCAGCCGAGAGCGATGGCACCGGCAACCTGGACTCGCACGCGGCGCCCATCATCCTTGACAGCGACGCCCCGGCACTGCTCGGAAACAACTCGCTGAAGAAGCTAGATGCGATCATGGGCGCGGCCCTGGCTGGCATTCTACATCTACGCGGGCCTGGACGTCGAGCGCTGTCGCCACCTGCCGGCGCGAGGAGCTACCGCCCGAAGGCCAGTAGCAGCGGACGCCGGCCTCTCCCGCACTCGAAGTTCAAGGAGGTCGTCGCGACGAAGGCGACGGGGCGCATGACCGACAAGCTGCAACCGAGGCCCGAACAGCTCGACTTCGCGATGGTCGAGACCGAGAACAAGAAGCCCGCGGGCCAAGGCAGTCGAGGTCCCGCTGTCACGGGATACGGAGTTGCACCGGGCAGCTCTGGGCGGGAGGCGGCGCGCAGCGCGAGAGCCGGGGCGGCGGCCGCCTCCAAGCCCGCAGCGGCGCCCAAGCAGGAGACGGTCCACGCGGAGGCGCGCTTCGAGGGTGAGCCGCCGGCAGCGCCCTCAGAGCACCAATGAGAGCGCGGGGCCCCGGTCGCGGCGGCCGGAGCAGCTGCTGGACGCCATCA